CCTTTCTCCTTCAGATTTCCAGGCTGGAGGAGGGGAGACATTTTAAATTAACTGATATTTGAAGTTTTGATGTGACACTGGATGAGACTTGTCAATACCTAGAAATGAGATGATTTTAAAAATGATGGTGCTAACTCTTCAGCCTGTTTGTTACTGAAAATAGACTGGGAAAGCTATCCATTTCATCCAGACACAAGAACAAATTATTACAGAAGTTCATGGGGACACTCGTGAGAAAATAAAGTTGCTTTCTGTTTATGCCTCACAAGTCTAGCTTGTTCCACAAGCAGGTTGCATGTGAAGAGTAGAAGAGCAGATCGGGAAGATGGAGAGGTTGGCATGTCCTCCGTCCTCCTGCCCAGTTTTCATCCCCTGGCAGCCAGCCTCAGCTCACAGTGGGGAGACATTTTATGGGTGAGGTTTGGATTTCACGGTTATACAGACTGGAATATTTTAAAACCAAAGAATAAAAGGCTAATTGTCCTGTTATTTCCTGGAAAAGCTGCATGAACCACCCACGATTTCATGCTGGAGAGAAAAAAACAACACTTTGCAAGCAGCTGGGGTAAGAAGAATAATTTGCTGTCTGTCAGCATCTAGTAATCCAACTTGTTTGTCAATAGTCACATTTACTTCTGAGTATTATAATGTACTGCATTTTACATGCTACAAGATGTTATCAATAAGAGTAATGTGGTTAAAAGTAAGACCTTTAAATAGCAGAAACTACTATATAATGGGAAGTACCCATGGAAATCCTGTAAACTAGGGGTGTCGAACTCAATCAGAGAAGGGGCCAAAATCTAAAATCCAGCCTAAATCGCGGGCCAAATGGTTTACTGAACAGTCATAAACTGTCATTGTGATGGAAACGCAGCGGAGTGCAGTGATGACAGCGCGGTGGGGGCCACATTGCAAGGCCTGGCGGGACGGATTTGGCCTGCGGGCCTTGTGTTTGACACATGTGCTGTAAACCATAGAGATTGAGTGATTATCTTGCTGAAACATATTTACAAGAATTGTCAAACTTCAGAATTAATTCTACGAAGCAGGCAAGAGTTCTCATTTGCTGCCCTCCTCTGTGATGACAAGGGGCTCTCAGAAGTGTGCTGCTGTGTGATCTGAAGACTGCTTTTTTGCAGCCAGCATTCATTCCCACATCCTTCTGTGCTACTCTCCGTGTCATACAGAATAGAATTATGGGATCTACACTTCCCAAACACCTTTGCCTTCAAGGTTCTGGATGTGATTTCATTTCTGCCAGTGTGTTCATGTGAGATTTCGTAGCATGACTGTTTCTGTGGCCACACCTAGCAAAATGTAGGCCATGGTAGACTTAAAATTCTGCTGTACTCTCCAAGGGACCTCCTTTCAGCCCCCATTTCAGTACTTGGGGTCCTCTGATCAGCAGTGGGGGGGTTCCCTCTATTTTTCTGATCTGGGTGGCAGCAGAAACCTCCTAGTACTCTGAACTTCTGAATGTTAATGGCAACATCCCCTAATTCCTGCGGTCCTTCTAAGAGTGTCATGAGCACCTCAGTGCCCTGCACTCAATTTTTTCAGCTTGAAAGGCCTACATGGTTTCTATTTCTGACTAAGCTGCCTGCTGATATTTTGAAATAAGTGGACATACTTAATGGGTCCCTTTAAGTTAGAAGTCATTTTCTAAATCTGTAAGTGAGGTATTAACTGCCTTTTTTTAAAAAAAGAAACTCATGTAATGGAGAGAGAAGTTTGAAAATGGATGTTTAGAAATGTTTATCACCATGTGATTTTGTTACCCAAAGTAATGTGTTAAACCAAGATTTTCAAAATAATGAAACACTGAATTATACATTGTTTTCAATAAAATAAACAGTAATAGTCATTCTTTCCTGAGAAAAATTAGGACTTTTTTTTTACTGCTAATAAATAAAATGAAAATTTTTTCAAAATATTATTTCATTTTTTAAAACATCAATTTCTATTTTGTGTATGTTTTAAATGCATATACTACATTGGTTCAGTAGTATATGTATGTGATTTTTTAAAAAGATACAAAGACTATGTCAAGGCACACAATGTTTACTGCTATAACTACACACCATAAAAGAAGCTTAGAAATCAGTGCTTTAGATGAATGAAGATGTACAGAGACTTGACTTGGGGTGGTGAGTACACAATACAGTGTATAGATGACCTGTTATAGAATTGTGCACCTGAAACTTGTATAATTTTGTTAATGTCACCCTAATAAATTCCATAAAAAGGAAAATAAATACTTTTTAAAAGACATGCTAGAAAAGGGATTTACTATCGGGGAAAGGGAGGGAGGAAGAGACTGAACATAAACTGTGCACCTATGGATGAGGACAATGGGGGATGGGGAAGGGGCGGAGGGTGGGGTGAGAACCTGGTGGAGGGGGGAAGAAATGAGGAACCTTTGTAATAATATGAATAATAAAGATTGATTAAAATAAATAAATAAATAAATAAATAAATAAATGACATGCTAGACATGGTTATGGTAATAGGTAATTAGGCTAGTATAATTATTAATATCATAGGATTCAGAACAAAGTGATCTTGGGCTCCTGGGTTGCCCATTACAAAAATATAGAGCAACCCAATAAGATCGCTTAAGATATAAAAATAGCCGAAACCGGTTTGGCTCAGTGGATAGACCGTGTGTCTGCGGACTGAAAGGTCCCAGGTTCGATTCTGGCCAAGGGCATGTACATTGGTTGCGAGCACATCCCCGTTAGGGGGCGTGCAGGAGCAACTGATCGATTTCTCTCTCTCATTGATGTTTCTAGCTCTTTATCCCTCTTCCTTTCTGTAAAAAATCAATAAAAATATATATTTTTTAAAAAAAGAGTACTTACTTAAAAAAAAAAGATGGAAAAACAAAAGAGCCCTAGCTGATTTGGCTCTGGCCTGCAGATCCCAGGCTGCAGGCTCCTCACCAGCCTGGGCCCTGGTCAGGGCTTGTGCAGGAGGCAGCCAATACATGTGTTTCTCTTAAATTGATGTTTCTCTCTGTCTTTCCCTCTCTTCCACTCTTTCTAAAAGTCAGTGGGAAAATATCTTTGGACAAAGATTAACAAATAAATAAAAACAAAAATATGAACAAAACAACAAAAACCCTTATTTCTAAAGAACAAAGGCATAGTCCCAGACTGTTTGCGGAAAGACCATCAGCCTGGGGAATGTTTGATTCCTCCGTTGCAGGCTCAATTCCTGCCCCTGGTTGGGGTGTGTATTAGGGCAACCAGTTGATGTCTCTGTCTCTCTCCCACTCCTAAAAATCAATGGGAAAATGTCCTCAGGTGAGGATTAACAAAAAATTTTTAAAAGCATAAAATAACCTGCCATAATACAGAAAAAAAACAAAAACAATAAAAACCAGTGCCCAGACAGGAGTCAGTTCACATACTGGGGATGTGCCCACAACCAATGTACATGCCCTTGACCGGAATCGAACCTGGGAACTTTCAGTCCGCAGACCGTTGCTCTATCCACTGAGCCAAGCGGGTTTCGGCAGGACAACACTTTTGAAGCTTACTGAACATTGGCTCTGAGCTACAATTAATCCATGGGTTAACTTACTATGGCCCACTGGTCAGAATGAGAATGAAGGTTGGTCATGTGAAAGAACAAGAAGAAATCAGCACTTACATCTATAGTACCAGAGTTGATGGAAGAGAGTGCCTACAGATGTATGCTCTCAGATAAACCCTCTTTGATTAGTCTTGGCTTTTTCCCACCAAAATTTCCCCCATATATCCATTTGCATGGCCAGGTAGCCAGTCGCTGCTGTAATTGCTAAGTTAAGACTGAACTCTAGGGGTCTGTTCACAGTTTCATGGGGCATAGAAAACTTGTCCCAAAACAACTCATTACCCTCAGAGAGCTTGAAGGCCAAAATAATGGTGGCTTGGGAATGGGAGTAGGGGTCTCTACTTGGGTATTACCCCACCCCAACACTTATACACATGTAAGCTGAAGATGCCTGCACATTGTTTGGGTCTCAGCTCAAATGCCACCTTATCAGGATCGCCCTGAAGACATAAAGCAGGAGGTCCCAATTCCCTGCCCCTAGTTTTATTGTTCTCCATAGCAATCAACATTTGACAATTTTTATGTTTTATTTTTTGTCCTCCTTTCTAGAATGGAAGCGTCATGAGTATGGGAAATTTTACCTACTCTGCTTGCCCCAGATCTAGCCCAAAGTCACTGTCAATCTTGCAAGCTGTAGTGACTGTGCCTGGTGGTGGTTTCACCGGACTAGATCTGGGGCAGAATTTTGGGTGAAGTTCTTGGCTGTGTAGCTTCCAAGCCTGATACCTACCCTTACCAGAAAATTCTGAGAATCACCAAGCATCTTTTTAATGAAAATTCCTTTTCTCCTATAAAAGTTGAGAGAGAGAGAGAGAGAGAGAGAGAGAGAGAGAGAGAGAGAGAGAGAGAGAGGGAGAGGCTTTGAGCAAGCTTTTTCTCTTTCTGGAGCACACTCATACCTTTCCCCCTCTTTCCCCAGATACGGTCTCTCTTTTTCCTAAGCTCCAAGCTTTCTTTTGCCTCTGTAACTGATTTCCTGAGTCCACACAGGCCCAGGTGGCTCACCTTTCCTTTTCTTTTTAACCTCTGTGACTTTCTAAATAAACTTTCTCTTATAATTTTTTTTAAAAAAAGGTCTGAGTTAGATTGTGTGGGGTCAAATAGCAGCTTTGCCAATGCCCAGTTGGCTAAATCATGAAACTGCTCTGAGATTTCCCCCACATTTTTAAGTTGGTAAAATCAGAGTACTACATCATAGGACTGTGGTGAGATCAAATGAAATACTACCTGTAAAATGCCCTGCGATGTAGTTCCCACACTTGCAACCCCAGCTTATGTAAGGCCGACAGAAGTGTTTTGACAAATAGTGCTGTGTTTAACTGGCTGCTAACATTTAAGTTATGACATTTCATAAAAATTCTGGATTTATAACTTCTCTTAAAAAAAAAATCAGGAGCTCTGTGCTCACTTTGGCAGCACGTATACTAAAATTGGAATGGTACAGATGTTAGCATGGCCCCTCCACAAGGATGACATGAAAAATTGAGAAACGTTCCATATTTTAAAGAGAAAAAAAAAATCAGAAGCTCTGACAACACTGGCATGACACTCGTACTTTGCAACAATGAGATTGTGTTGAGTTGTCTATCTCCTTTGGAGGAGGCGGGAATTCATTGCCTGATTCCATCTATTACCTGCCTGGTCCCAGCTGTAGGTTTGAATGTGTAGCCCTGTACTAGGAATTTAAAGATTTTCTAGAGCTGCAAAATTTAAAAGTTCAGCTAAATTGTCTCTAAGAAACTTTTCAGACTGATTTGGTTTTTGATTGCTGCACAGTAATCAAAACAGTAGGATTATTCCTAAACAACTGACATTTTGTTATCTTTAATGTTTCTTTGGATTGACTGGGTTTCGGTGGGCAATTCTCTGCTCCATATGATGTCGATTTAGATAGTCATTTGGGGGTGCCTCTAGAATGGGACATTTAAGATGTCTCAATCACATAGTGGGTAATTAGTGCTGTCAGTTGAGGCTAAGCTGGGCCAATCTTGAGGCTTTCCCAGCTTGGTAACTAGATAAGAATGTGGAAGTGAAAGTTGCCAGTTTCAAGGCCTGGGATTCCATAGAGGTCCCAGAATGTCATTTCTGCTACATTCTATTGGTCAAAGCTAGTCACAAGACTTGTTAGACTCAAAAGGGGGAGGGATGCATGGGATGGGAAATAAGCATTTCCTCTTCATCTAAGGAGCAACACACACACACACACACACACACCACTTTTGGGAGGGCGGCATCTATGGAGGCTAGTGGCTACATAAGAGCTAATTTTTTAAATATTTTTATTGATATCAGAGAGGAAGGGAGAGGGAGAGAGAGAAACATCAATGAGAATCATTGACTGCCTCCTGTATGGCCCCAACTGGGGATTAAGCCCCAAATCATAGGTGGATGCTCAACTACTGAGCCACACTGACCGGGCAGAGGGTGAGAGGGAACATGATGGTGAGAGATGAAGGTTGAAATAAGGGGTCCAATAGTCTGAACATTGAGAGGCGGTGGGGAGCCACTAAGATTGTAATCAAGTGTTAAACCCGCTGTGTCTCAGAGAAGTGACTTGTCCAAGTCCTACAATTAGGAACAGAATCAGAAAAATGAACTAATAATTCCCAGTTAACCAGCTCCTAATGCACTAAGCAGTAACTCCCCGCGGTCCCGTGTTTACCACTGAACCGCAAATCAGAAGACACGGCGCACATCCGCAGGCGCCACTGGCCCTGCGGAAATGGCCTCAGCCCTTGAACCGGAAGCACAAAGTGACCGCTGCTTACGCCACCTAACGGTCGACCAGAGGCAAAGTCCGTGTGGAGAGCCTTGGCACCGGAAGTGGACGGCTGTTTCCGGTAAGGATCCCAAGGAGCAGAGGCTAAAAGGGCGATTCACGGAGACTCGGCCAGTGTGTCCTGCGTGCTCGGCGCCGCAACGTCGCGAGTCTGCTTCTGCGCAGGCGCGGGGACCACCGCGTGGGGAACGCGTGTGCCCGACCGTGCGCGCGCCCGGTCTCCGTTGGGCGCGGCGGTGCCGTTCGGAGGGTAAAGCCTTTGGAGCTGTAACGCAGCCTTTTGTTCTCTTAACTACAACTCCCAGCATGCCTCGCCCCCCATGTTGCTACTAGGTGCGGTCTACCAGGATAGGTTAAAAGAACGTCAGGGATCATGACGTACCAAAGGGAAAAAAAATTGAATACGTCGTTTCAGGCCATCGTTCACAGAAGCCCCAGTGGCCTAATGGATAAGGCATTGGCCTCCTAAGCCAGGGATTGTGGGTTCGAGTCCCATCTGGGGTGGCGAGGCATTTTTTTTTCTGTTCTCACTTCTTAAGCAATTGTAGTGAAATATGCTAACTTAATTTTACTTTTTATAAATAAGAAATGTACGTGTGGTTTTCCTAGGTGTTGGGTTACTACTAGAGTCAGCATACTCCATTCTCTTTCTCTGATTTGGGGAAGTCAATCCGTTGAATTTCGTTGTCCCCTCTAGAAATAATGTCTGCTCAGCGTGTTCTGTTTCAAATCAACACCCATTCGCGCCAGACTATTTCTCGAGGCTGAAAAGGTCGGTTAAGCTGAGGGGATCTCAAATGGCGCCATCAGGAAAGGGCTTCCTTTTTCCCTCGCCCAGCTCGTCAGTCACTCGGCTTTCCTTTGCTTTTCCCTTAACTCCTTAGGGCGCCGCTCGGCGTTCGATTACTAAGGCTGCGCAGGGGAGGGAAGTGAACCTTCCGCTGTTTTGCAATCGAGGAGAGGAGCCGGGTGGGCTCGACCGTACCATTGAGTGACTGGGCCTGGGGGTGAAGGAGCTACAGGGGCGCTGGGCGGCGCCGGACACCGGGCTCCGAGGACGGGGAAATGGCGGCGCTCGGGCCGCCGGCGCGCACCCTGCGCGGTCTTCTACGGGAGCTGCGCTACATGAACGCAGGCACCGGCCGACCCTACCGCGACACCGCGGCCTATCGGTACCTCGTGCAGGCTTTCCGCGCCCATCGGGTATGGAAGCCCGGACCCGCGTGCTCCGCGCCCCTTCCCCGGGGTGGGCGGGGGAGCCCGGTTCGGGCGGGCGCGGAGAACGCCGGGCCTGAGCGCCTGCCTTTCTGAGGCCGACCCTCCGCCCAGCCCCGGTTCCGGCCAGGAGAGCCGGGCTCTACCTCTCTGGGCTCCGAACCATGGCCTAAGCCCGAGCCTGACCCCGGGCCGCGGGAGGTCAAAGCCACCGGGGAGGAGCCGTCCCCGAGGAATTCATTGGCTGTCTTTTGTGTGAATGAAGGAGAAAGTTGGAGGAAAGAGAAACGAGAAAACAGGGGGGGAAAGAAAGCGTGTATCCGAAACCGGTTTGGCTCAGTGGATAGAGCATCTGTCTGCGGACGGAAGGGTCCCAGGTTCAATTCCGGTCAAGGGCATGTATTGTATATTGGTTGCGGGCGCATCCCCAGTGGGGGGTGTGCAGGGGGCAGCTGATCAATGATTCTCTCACATGATGTTTCTAGCTCTCTATACCCTCTCCCTTCCTCTCTGTAAAAAATCAATTAAAATATGTTAAAAAAAGAAAGAAAGAAAGCGTGTAGGGTCCCTAGCCGCCGCATCTGTCCATTTCGCTGCCCATTCCCTAGTAAAGCTATTCTCAGAAGCAACTTTTGAGGCAGAAAGAGAAGCTATAACAGGACATGAAATATTGGGAGCTTCCTGAAGAGCAGGAACTGTTACTTAGGTTGTATCCCCTTCACCAAACAGATGGTGCCTCGTAAAGGGAATTAGAAACTTGTCATGAAGTGGCACTGTTCGTTAAGACATTAGCGTGATGTATGTCCAGATAGGTTTTGTCCTTCTGTAGCTGATAAATCTGAACATATGGTAAAACGTACTTGAGAAATTCCTTTTTTAAAAAATGTATTTTATTGATTTTTTACAGAGAGGAAGGGAGAGAGATAGCTAGAAACTTCGATGAGAGAGAAACATCGACCAGGTGCCTCCTGCACACCCCCTACCGGGGATGTTCCCACAACCAATGTACATGCCCTTGACCATAATGGAACCTGGGAACTTTCAATCCCCAGACGGACTCTCTACCACTGAGCCAAACCCGCTTCGGTGAGAAATTCCTTTGTTAAATCCTTTTCCTTTTTTTTTTTAAAAATATATTTTATTGATTTTGTACAGAGAGGAAGGGATAGGTTTCGGTGATAGTTTCATTTTTCAAATGGGGCAACGGAGACTCAGGGTCAGCCACCCTTTCAAGGACACGTATAAGAACAACTAAGATGTAGGTTACCTAGTTCCCAAATAAGAGTCCATTAACGCCTTTGAAGTTAGGGGTCTGGCTGGAAGAGAGATTGCAGCCTCAGAAATAATAAATTGGAGAGTCAGTTTTGGCTCTATGGAAGGAAAAATACCGTCCTTTGAACAATGTGGGAAACTGGAGACCACTAACCTAAATATTGAATTTCTGAGCCATGGAAGTTAGAATGCAAAATGTCAGAACTAAAATTTCACTACTTGTTCAAAAGTCTGACAAGAGACTTAGGAACTGACAAGTGAATCATTGATCTGCTGCCTCCTGCTCGTCCCCCACTGTGATCAAACCCAGTGTAAGAGTAGGAGGGACAGGTATGGGAGAGAGAATGACTGATGTGCGAGAGATACATTAACTTAATTGCCTCCTGATAATGCCGGGAATTGAACCTGCAACCCAGGTACAAGCCCTGCCCTGGGAATCAAACTTGGAAACTTTCAGCACCAGGACCAACACTATCCACTGAAACACACTGGCAAGGCATACTGTTAGGTTTTGATTGACCCTTCTCTCCAGGCTCCTTATGATTACGGCCTAAGTCAAAGACAATATTCTCTTGTCCCATGTCAGTGGTCAGCAAGCTCATTAGTCAACAGAGCCAAATATCAACAGTACAACGATTGAAATTTCTTTTAAGAGCCAAATTTTTTAAACTTAAACTTCTTCGAATGCCACTTCTTCAAAATAGACTCGACCAAGCCGTGGTCTTTCTGGAAGAGCCACACTCAAGGGGCCAAAGAACCGCATGTGGCTTGCGAGCAGCAGTTTGCTGACCATGGACCTATACTAACATAGAATTCTTGTTTCAAATCTTATCAATTTAGATTTGTTGATGTTTGACATTGGTGTTAATCTCAAATTTTTAATTATAAAAATTTTTTTTTAATTGATTGCCCTGGCCAGTGTGGCTCCGTTGTTGGAGTGTCAGCCTGTGCACTGGAAGGTCTCGGGTTTAATTCCCAGTCAGGGCAGATAAGGGAGGCAATTGATCAATCAATCTATTTCACGTTGTTTCTCCCACTCTAAAATTAAAAAAAAAATTAATTTTATTAAAGGGGATGAATTTTGCCTTTTTGAGCAGCTTATGAGTGGATTTTCCCGTATGTGATCTGCGGATCTTAAGCCACACTCTAGATATTTAAATAAAGGTTAAAGAAAGGGGATTCTGTAGGCAGTGGTGCCAGAGATTAATGGACACTGGACAGGGCTCCTTGAGTCCTTA